GGGCAAGGGAAACAAAAGCAAAAATGAACAAGTGGGACTATATCAAGCTGAAAAGCTTCTGTACAGCAAAGGACACCATCAATAGAACAAAAAGGTATCCTACAGTATGGGAGAATATATTCATAAATGACAGATCCGATAAAGGGTTGACATCAAAAATATATAAAGAGCTCACACACCTCACAAACAAAAAACAATAATCCAATTAAAATATGAGCAGAGGAGTTGAACAGACAAGTTCTCTAAAGAAGAAGTTCAGATGGCCAACAGACACATGAAAAGATGCTCCACATCCCTTGTCATCAGAGAAATGCAAATTAAAACCACAATGAAATATCACCTCACACCAGTAAGGATCACCACCATCCAAAAGTCAAACAACAACCAGTGTTGGCGAGATTGTGGAGAAAGGGGAACCCTCCTACACTGTTAGTGGGAATGTAAATTATTTCAGCCATTGTGGAAAGCAGTATGGAGGTTCCTCAAAATGCTCAAAATAGAAATACCATTTGACCCAGGAATTCCACTTCTAGGAATTTACCCTACGAATGCAGCAGCCTAGTTTGAAAAAGACAGATGCACCCCCATGTTTATCGCAGCACTATTTACAATAGCCAAGAAATGGAAGCAACCTAAGTGTCCATCAGTAGATGAATGGATAAAAAAGATGTGGTACATATACTCAATGGAATATTATTCAGCCATAAGAAGAAAACAAATCCTACCATTTGAAACAACATGGATGGAATTAGAGGGTATTATGCTCAGTGAAATAAGCCAGGCTGAGAAAGACAAGTACCAAATGATTTCACTCAGATGTGGAGTATAAGAGTAAAGAAAAGCTGAAGGAACAAAACAGCAGCAGAATCACAGAACCCACGAATGGACTAACAGTTACCAAAGGGAAAGGGACTGGGGAGGATGGGTGGGAAGTGAGGGATAAGGGCAGGAAAAAGAAAGGGGGCATTACAATTATCATGTATAATGTGGAGGGGGTACGGGGCGTGCTCTACAACACAGAGAAGACAAGTCATGATTTTACAGCATCTTACTATGCTGATGGACAGTGACTGTGAAGGGGTATGTCGGGGGGACTTGGTGAAGTGGGGAGTCTAGTTAACATAATGTTCTTCATGTAATTGTAGATTAATGATACAAAAAAAAGAACATGAAACAAAATTTTTACTAGAATGGCATAAAAAGGGTGTTCAATTCAGAGTCTTGATATTTACTGATAGCATGAAATAAAACAATTGTCATTTAATTCTGGTAACATATTTGATTGTAATCTATGAGCATTATGGTTTTTGGTTAAATAATGATTTACCTTCAATAATTTTAAAACAGATCACAAAAACTTTGCAGAGGTGCTAATCTTTTTGAGAAGTTTCCTCTTCTGTGTAACAGAGATAATAGGATCTGCTCTAAAAAACTTTGAGGAAAACTTACAATGAAATGTTTCAAAAATGTACTCAAAACCTAGTATGCGATAAACACTGGGCTATATACAGTTTATATATAAAATTATAAACATGTTATAAGTAATGAATTACGAATCCCACCCCCCAAGAAGAAAAACAAAAAACATGTTCATGAAGGAAAACTTACCATTGAAGGGAAATCATAATGTATTTCACTTCACCATTTTAGCTAATCTCTTCCTGAGCAATTTTTCTTTCTTTTTAAATTGCTTCTCCCTCCATAGCTTCTGAAATGTCCAGATCTGATTGTATCATTTCACTGCAGTATGTGATGGCTTTTTAATGGAATATGCCACTCTCTAAAAAGTTCTTGATGTACTTTTTCAGGCAGTATGAAATGACCTATGTTAATAAAAAAAAAAAAAAGAGGAAGTCTTCAACCAGTGGGAAGGAAAAGGTTTAATGCTGACTTCAGACTTTCCCAATCAAGATGTGTCTCCCATGTACACGAAGAAGCCTGGAAGAATAAAGCAGGTACCTGAAGGGAACTCACACAGTCAACAACTGCTAATTAAACACCTACTATGTGCCCAGCAATGTTCCAGGAGCTAGGAATACATAAGTAAAGAAGATGCATAGTAAAAGGAGTATCCTGGTGACACCGAGTCTCTGGAGTTCCTGAAGGCAGAAGGGCCCCAGTGATAGTTGAACTATCACTGTCAAGCTCATCTGCTCTGGGCACCTCTCCAGGACAAAGGCAGCTCACTGCTTAGCTGCATCTCCCTGCATAGGGGCTATTTTCAGGATATGGAAGCACAATGGAACCATATACAATGCAAGCCCAAACCTCTGGAATCCAACCGTAACCAGTGACGGATGGGGAATTGGTAGATAAATGCCCCAGTTCCCTGTCACTGGGAATATTTCTGTCTCCAGTGTTACCCAGCAGGATGGTGCCCAGCTGCCTAAGAGGTAACCTGCTTGCTAACACACCCTTTACTGACTTCCTTCCACTGTCTCACTTCACTCCCAACATGTATTTTCCTGGGATCACCTCCAAAATAAATCACTTCCACTCAGAATAAAAGATAATGTGGTTAATCTTCATACATGAACTCATGTCAGAGTTCTCTCAGAACTCTGAGCTATCTTTCCAAAGTCATATACAGCACAGCAGTGATCCTCCATCACTGTGGCCTGACCCCTTTTAGGTCACCTACTTAGCCTGTTTGCTCCTGGCAAAAGCCGTGCAGCTGATGTGTGCATGGAGCCATGACATCAGCAAGGTGACCAGAATGCCCTCCCGGCGCTAGGATGGAGAGACAGAGATGCCACTTGGGCAGCCTCTCAGTGGCCTGTGCAGACCTGCATGGCTTGGGCACCTGGGAGGGTCAGGTGCTACCATGAGTGCAGGGAGGCTAGACACTGAACTCCACCTCTGGAGGGCACTGGGCTCCAGATTGAGATGCTCTGGAAAGGCAAAGTCGGCACCTCTACTCTGTGCAGGATGAACTTCTGATCTGGTGGGTGACTCCTCTCCTCGCTGTGGCCTCTCTTTCGTAAGAGCTGCAGCTGATGGAATTTTGACTGGCTTTGAAAGGTGCTTCCTTACGTAAGGTTTTTCTACCTAGAGTTCATCAATGGTTTCCCACTGCCCTCAGGATGTACTCTAAATCCCATACTAATAAGGCCTTCAGTAACCTGACCTCCTCTCTTCTACTGCTTCTCCCACACCTATTGCTGTTCTCCTCACAGCCAAATACTGTTAGCCACCTCTGGTTTTGCATTTGCTGGCCACACAGACAGAAATAGTCTCAATCCTCACTTCCACCCTCTTCACCTGGCTCACTCCTATTTAATCTTCACATTTCAACCTAAACAATATGTCCTCAGAGAAGCCTTCCACACTCCACGATGGATGGGTTAAACTGCTCTCCCATGTTCTCCTAAAGAACTTTGTACCAATTCCATCTCAGCATATGAAACAGCTCTCACTCTGAACATTGCAAAATTCCAGTTAGGTGTCTGGAAATTTGCTCAAATCCTTGGACCATTCCTAAGAGCATATCTCAAGGATAAAGTGGGATGTCCAGGCAGCTGAGCAACCTGTCCTTCAAGCTGAACCCCCAAGTAGCACCCATGCAGTCCCACAGGTAGGACGGGGGCACTCAGGCTTTAGGGTCTTTCACCAAAATGGTAGCTACTCATTGTTTCAGCAACAATCTTGGCTACATCATCAGATTCAAACTTCATGAAGCCAAACAGCCTTTGCTATTTCCAGTCTGCAATGGAGGATCCACCACAAAAACCAGAATGATTAAATTCTAACATGTCCTTAAACTCCTAAAATGTTATTAATTTAAATAATACACATTAGTGATATTAACAAGTAACAGCATGACACCTTTAATTCAAACTTCAACTTACATCATCTGGGGACTGGTATGGGAAAGGGAAAGAGTCGGAAAATATCACTGATCTTGAGGTATTCCTGGAGTTTTGATTACATGACAAAATGCATTATTATAGCTGGAATTCATGCAATAGTACCCTGCATTAAAGGTAATGTGGTAGGGCCCTATAGTCCTTTACTCATTATCAATCGCAATGGTAGTCATTTTAGTCATATATTATTAATATCCAGGAGATAAATGTTGGTGAGGTGGGCTGGCTGCAAGTGACCCTCCCCCTTCCCCACCTGTACTGGGTCCTGGGTCATCCTGTGCTGGGTGCCCTAAATCGATAGAGAAGAAAACCCAGGGATGCCCACAAGGCTAGGCCACAGCTTTCTGAGCTTCATCCCTGACAGGACATCCCTTCTGGGGACACTAGATGGGGTGTGGTAGGGCCAGGTAACACTCCTCCTGCTCCCCAGGAGCTCTTCAAGAAGGTGTAGCCCCATCATCACCTGGGCTCCACCTGGTCCCAGAGGAACAAGCCCAGCAATGAGCTCCAGGCAACCACAGTCCGAGCCACCATTACCCAGTTCAACAGTGTGGCCAACTGCATCACCACCGCCTGCCTCAGCAGCCCAGGCACTGATGGCCGAGACTGGGCTGGAGGGTTGGTTGGGGCATGGGAATGAGGTGGCCTAGGTGTGCTGTGGGAGGCCCACTGGAGATGCCCTCCTAGCCTTCAGGGCTGCCTCTTCTCCTTTCCCACCTCAGGATTGAAGTCTGAGGTCTAAGCCCCGGCACAGCCTAGGCCCTTTCAAGGGCATGTTGACCTTGACTCCTATGTCCCAGTGGTGGGACAACCACTACCTGCCTGATTTCTGCCTTGGGTTGAACTAAAATCTTCTATGGGAGTGATATTCTTTGGGGCCAGGTATGCTGTCCCTTGGCACCCTAAGCATCTGTCCCACCCAGGAGAGGAGATGTAAACTGAGGGGGACTGAAGTCAGAGCGAGCAGGGCCCCTGCTCCCCACTTCACAGCTCATCCTCCTCCCTTTCCAGGAAGGCAGGTCCCGAGGGACTTCTTCTCACTGTGCACCATCCTCTCTGTTCTGCACAGCCTCCTGATTCACTGCCTGAAAGGAGACATGGGGGAAGTTTCCAGGGGAGGAGGCCTCTCCCCATAAGGAGGAGTCAGTAATTCTAAAATTGATTTAAAGATCCAGTGCAATTTTAACCATAATCTCAGCAAGCTGCTTTGTAGATATTGACAGAATCATTTTTAACTTTCTCTAGCCTACACAATACTAATGAAGAACAAGTTGATGGACTCAAACAATTTCAAGATAAATTACAAAGCTCTAACAATTGAAAGAGCATATTTTAAATGAATGTACACATAGAAAAATGAAAGAACTGAGAGCCAACATATTGATCTATACAAATACAGACTACTTGAACTTGGCCAAAGGAATAAAAGCACTTTCACACAGAAGAGACTCTCTTTAGTCTTTAGTCTTCCATCTCTGTCTTTTACTCTTAGTCACCATCCACAAATGATGCTGAGACTAATGACCCTATGGGAATAGATGAACAAAGACACAAACTTTGCTCTTTAGACATAATTTTATTCAAAATCTTTCAGCTACTTAAATAGAAAATGCAAAACTATAAACATTCTAGTGAAAAAGTTAGGAGAAAATCTACATTACTTATAGTTGTTGATAAATTTTCATACATAGATATATGTAAGAGGAATATTACAATTTTGATACCACAGAAATAGAAATACATTTTATCTATATATAAATACAAGACCACCAGAAACAATTAGAACAATAAATCTGGTATCTGTAAGAAATGGATAAATTCCTAGAAACACACAGCCTATCAAAACTGAATCATAACAAAGTAGAAAATCTAAAAATAATGAGTAAGGAGAATTAATCAGTAATCAAAAATGTCCCAACAAAGAAAATCCCAAGACCAAATGTTTTTACTAGTGAAATCTACCACACATGTAAGGAAGATTTAATACCAGTCCTTCTCAAAATTTTATAAAATTTGAAGAATGAACATATCCAAACTCATTTTAGAGTTTTTATAAATTTATAGAATTTTGTTGCATATGAGTAATATCACTGAAAGTATGTATTCACCACATTATACTGAATTTAATACTATGGGTAAAACTGTAATATTTCCAGAATATCTTGCCTGGCTTTAGTATATCTGCATATCAATAGGCATTCAGAGGTAGAAAGAAGTATGGCTTTAGTGCATTTGCATCATTCCTCAGGGGTGGAGAGAAGTTCATCTCCTTATCAATGGGTAATTACCTGGGCAAGGAAGGCTTATCTGTACCTGAGAGGTGAGGGGGAGGGCCGGTTTTGCTTCTACTGGAGCAGGAAAGAGAGAAGGGCTGGGACTGCAGTTTGTAAGCAAAAAACGGGTTTTAAATTTTATTTCTCCCTTTGACTCATCTTGGTTTTTAGAGGTATTTTGCTCTGGGATTTCCTTTCCCCGGATTACACCTGGTGCAGTTGGTAGCATTCCTCTGAACCCAATATCTGTTATAATGAGTGCAACCTTTGGGAGGGCCACCCCTAGAAATGATGAGGAGAAGTGGCGCTTGCTCTGAGGGATGTGTGTCTGCACTTGTGTGGTTGTGGAGGTGCTACCACCTCTGCTGGCCATGCTGACCCCAGCTCATGGCCTGAACCTAAGGCTACTGCTTCTGCCACTTCTGCTGCTTCTGCAGCTGGCTGGAGCCTGGTCACAACTATGGAAAGGAGCAGAGGTCTGGGTCACCTTGATAGAGAAGCAACTGGCTGCTGTATACTATGCCTTGCTGGCTATGGAGCCCACTGCCAGAAGAACTCAGATCAAGGTAATAACCACCTATCCCATTGCAGGGTGGGTGAGAGACTGGGCCTGAAGGCCATGGAGTGGTGTGGCACAGACACCTACCGTATATCGTGTCACTGGCCATTTGCCTTTGGCATCCCCAGGGAATGATGAAGCAGAGACACATTAGCCCAGGTGCACTGGCTAGAAAGAAAGCCTGCCTCTGATGTGGCCCAATGGCTATATCAGCATTTGTTGCACATGGAGCAAAAGACAATGTGGGCCCATCAGTGGGGCTTGCCATTGACCTTTGAAGATGTCAGCTGAGCCTGGAAGGAGTGCCCTGCATGTTGTGCAGATCAGCAAACCACCAAGAGGGGCCTAGAGCGTTTCTTTGCAGCCTATGGCTGGTCGCCAGTGATTGAGAGTCATCAAGGCAACTACTTTATTGGATGTGCATTGCAAGGATGGGTACAGCAAGTAGGAATAAAATGGACAAGGCCCTAGACATTTTGACACATGGACTGGCAATGGTTGGCTTTTCTGGTACCTTTGGGAAAAGGCCTGGAATCTGGCCTCCTGTGTTTTCCTGGAAGAACAGCAAAGTGGCTCCCCCAAAATCACAGTTATTTGCTTCTACAGTCCTTGTGTCCTGAATGTACCCCCTGGCTGCAGCTGTCACATGATGGCTGGAATAGATGAGCTTTGGACTTAATCTGCATGGGACTTTGAACCTAGCTGAACCCTCTGGCTTGAGAACTATCGTGATTGTGTTGCTGTTGTCAAGAAAAAAGTGCTTAAAGAGAGGCTCGACTTTGTCTAATATTTGGTAAAAATTTTGTGAGCAATCTAGCATGGTTGTTAGGAATGAGTAACAGGTGTAGAAACATATTTTGTGCTTAGTGAGATTGTGCTGTAAAGTACACTTACTTAATCTGCATAGACTGAAGCCTCTGGTTTAAGGATTATCATGATTTTATTGCTGTTGCTATTGTATGTCATTAGTTTGGTCAGAAGAGGGGGAACGAGTAAATTTGTAAGGCGAGATTTCTGGAGGGGTGGCCTGTGGGTAAAACTGTAATATTTCCAGAATATCTCACCTGGCTTTAGTACATCTGCATTTAGTACATCTGATTTCAGTTTTTAGAGGTTTTTTGCCCCAGGATTTCCTTTCCCCGGACTTACAAATACTCTTTCTAAAAACATATGGATGAACTATATTTCAAAGAATGGTGTTTGGGTCTATGAATATAACAGTGTTATTTCAGTAACATACTGTGATGCATAGAATTCACTATGTAAAGTTAAATGAATAGAAGATGTTTTAATTAATGACATAATTAATTGCATTCAGATTGTTATTTTACTAAAGAATGTGATCACTACATGCCCTGCTAGAAAAGTCTTTAAGAGTAGATATGAAAGATATTTCTCAAAATGCTACTTGTATCTATAAATAAGCAGTCTTATTTCATTGAATGTGTGCAACACACTGCATTGCATGTCATCAACTATATAATGTCACATGTATAAAAATGTTTCCATGAATGATAGAATCCAATTGGATCCAGGTAGTGTTATTTCAAGGAAAGAATGTGTTCACTGTATTACGGCATTTAATAAATTATGAAAAAGCACCACTATAAAAATGTTACTAGACCTTATATATTTATGACTATGGAAATTGCAGAACATGATCTACACTCACCTCTATATAAAAGGTATCATTCCCAGGCTGTCATGGAAAAGCTTCAGCCGGTCTGTAATTGTCTTCCAATTCAACCTGGGGGTCACTTCCCAGACCTGCACTGGGAGGCACAGCTCTCCCTCAGGTGCCAGCTCAGTGCAGCTGTAAGGAACATAGGCCACTCATCTGTAAGGAACACAGAAGTTATAACCCAGCACCTCCAGTTAGTACTCCAGGAAATAACATTCCATGCCAACAAGACATTCCTATGCCTCAGGAAATGGGCAGAATAAAGAATATTGATATCCACATTCCCTTTATAGCTTTTTTTCTTAGCTAGCTCAACAAAATTTTTAATTGTTTATAATTGCCCTTATTTTAAATATGGTAAATGTTAGCCTCAGTAATTAAAACCATATACAGAAATACATTCAGGGTGTTTATTGCTGTATTTACAACAATAAAAATCTGAAAACAACGTAGTTTGTTGGTAGGGGAATAAGTAAATAAATTATGGCATATCTAATCAAGTCCTTAAAATCGATCTATGTGTTTGAGCATTAGGTCCATGAAATATGTTTCATTTTTAAAAGTCTGTAGCATAGTGTTTATGGTATAATTCATTCTTTTTTAAAAATTCTTTAGTGTGGATTCATATGTGGACATAGAAAAGGGTATTTAAGGTATAAAACAATCTTTTAACAGTGATTATTTCCAGGGCTGCAACTGCAGGGTAATTTTCTGTTTTCTATTTTTTATACTTTTCTATTATATATTTTGTATGTTTTTTATATTTCTATATTATTTGCATGTTTGATTAGTACATCTTTTTATACCTAGAAAACCAATAAAGTTGAATTTTCAAACTATGTAAAGATGAGAATTCTATTATAAATGTAAGAATGTTAGTTATATGTGCATATAGTTATTTCTATGGCAAAATGTGTCTACCATACTATGCTGCGTTTGGTACACATACAGCCACCTGTATAAAAGTTGCTTTTGTGAGTGATAGAATTTTGTCCTATCTAATTTGTATTACTTCAATTAAACTATGTGTTCACCATATGGGTTGCATTAATGCATTCCATAAATGTTCACACATAGAAGGTATTTCTAGTATAAGAATTTTATATGTGCATAAATATAGTGTTATTTCAATGAAGGATTGTTTTTACCACATATGCAGCTTTTACTAGATTGCTTACAGACTTAGGTATAAAAATGTTTTTAAGATCTAATTATAAACATATGTAAATATCATCTTATTTCATTGAAAGAAAGCATTCAACCCACTTGGTAGATGGACTGTACTCTATAATTTGACACATATAATACATGTTTCTAGGAGTGGCAGAATTTCCTTGAAGCCAGGTAATGCTATTTTGTTGAAATATATGTTTTATTTAATATGCTCTGTAAAGGTATACATATATATATTTATTTATATACACATAAAATATATATATATTATACATAAAATACATTTCTAAGAATGCTATTTGTATAGGTGATAAATGCAATGCTATTTCATTGAAAGAATATATTCACCATAGCGACAATATTTAAAACATTTGTAATGGCACATATATAAAATATGTTTCTAAAAATGATGTTTATATACATATTAATAAGCACAGAGTTTTTCCATTGAGAGAATGTGTTTAGCACACTTTGGTGCATGGAACACTCCATAGTCACACGGATAAAAGATATTTCTAAGACTGACAATTTCATTGCTTCCCTGTAATGATTTTTCAGTGAAAAAGTACTTCTACTGCATGTACTGCATTTAACGCAGTTTGAAAGGCATATATGCAAAAAGATGGCTCAAACAATGGTAGTTGTGATGTCAATTTCTAGACAACAGTGGAATTAAATTAGAAATTAAGTACAGAAAGGTGACTGGAAAATCTAAAATTACATGATGTGAACAAATTTGTAAGTATACAAATCGAAGTGACACATCAGTCAAAGAAGAAATTTAAAAAATATTTTGGATTAAATTAAAATGAAAAATATAACTAAAATTTGTAGGATACAGTGAAAGAAATGCTTCGAGGGAAATGTCTAGCATTGATTGAATGTGTATTATTAGAAGAAAAGAAAGATAAAAAATCAATAATATAAGTGTCCACCTTAGGAGGCTAGCAATAAAAGAGTGAATTAAATCCAAATTAAGCAAAATAAATAATAATTCAAGTAGAAACCAATGAAATAAAAAACAGAACATGAATGAAACTCAAAAGCTGATGCTTTGAAAATATCAATAAAAATGATAAGCCTCTAGCTAGGCTAAGACAGCATATATAAATTACTAATATAAATGAAAAGGGGACAAATCTATGAATGTTCTAAGGATATTAACTTCAATAAAGAAATAATATGAACAACCCTGTGCCCACAAATATGAAAGGACAGATTAAACAAACTACCTCCTTGCAAGAATCTGTCTGAAAATTCACATAGAAAAAAAAAGCCTATGTGAACAGTCCTCTATCAGTTAAATAGATTTGATTTTCAAAAAATGAGCCACAGGAAGATGGCGGCATGAGTAGTTCAGAGGAAATCTCCTCCCCAAAACATATATTTATGAAAATACAATAAATATAACTATTCCTAAAAGAGACGCCAGTGGATGCAGTACAGCAGCCAGGATACATCTACATCTGTGAGAACTCAACAACACATGAAGGGGGTAAGATACAAGCCATGGCCAGGTGGGACCCGAACGCTCCCCCACCCCAAAACCCGGTGGGAAGAAAGGAATCAGAACAGGGAGGGAGTGAAAGCCCAGGACTGCTAAACAACCAGCTCTAGAAATCCGCACCCGGAGCACAGACACAAGGTGCACAGGGTGCTGGATATTAGAGAAACGGAAAAGCAAAACCTGTGGGCAGGTCTCTGCAAACAGCACCCCTGAGACAAAAGAAAAGCAAGTGCTTTCTGCAAGTCTTAAAGAGACAGGGACCCCATAGTTGGATGAAGTTGCCCCAGCACACTCAGCCAGCAGCTGGGAATTCTGGGGAAACTTAGGCACCCTAAACCCCGGAGAGGCAGTGCAGCTCTGAAGCCCCTCATGGCACTAAGCAGCCTGCCAATCGTTCCTCCAACTGGTGAGGAGCCCAACACACCGGCCCAGTAGCAGGAGAGTGGTAGCGCGTGCCGGAGGTGGAGGCACCGGAAGGGACCAGGAGCAGATCCATGCACCAATGGCACCAGAGAGGACTAGGACAGGCTTGTGCAAGCCCACAGCAGAATGACTGAACAGCCTGGAGAAATATGCAAGAGAAATATGCAAGAGCTAAGGGATGAAGTCCGGAGGGAGATTACAGAAGTGAAACAGAATCTGGAAGGATTTATAAGGAGAATGGAGAAGATGCAAGAGGCCATTGATAGAATAGAAACCAGACAACAGGAACGCATAGAAGCTGATGCAGAGAGAGATAAAAGGATCTCCAGGAATGAAACAATATTAAGAGAACTGTGTGACCAATCCAAAAGGAACAATATTAGGTTTATAGGGGTACCAGAGGAAGAAGAGAGAGAAAAAGGGATAGAAAGTGTCTTTGAAGAAATAATTGCTGAGAACTTCCCCAAACTGGGGGAGGAAATAGTTGCTCAGACTACAGAGGCACACAGAACTCCCAAGAGATGGGACCAAAAGAGAAAAACACCAAGACACATAATAATTAAAATGGCAAACATCAAGGAAAAGGACAGAGTATTGAAGGCAGCCAGAGAGAGAAAAAAGGTCACCTACAAAGGAAAACCCATCAGGCTTTCATCAGACTTCTCAACAGAAACCTTACAGGCCAGAAGAGAATGACATGATATATTTAATGCAATGAAACAGAAGGGCCTTGAACCAAGGATACTGTATTCAGCACGATTATCATTTAAATATGAAGTAAGGATTAAACAATTCCCAGACAAGCAAAAGTTGAGGGAATTTGCCTCCCACAAACCACCTCTACAGGGTATGTTAGAGGGACTGCTCTAGATGGGAGCACTCCTAAAAAGAGCACAGAACAAAACACCCAACATATGAAGAATGGAGGAGGAGGAAAAAGAAGGGAAAGAAATAATCATCAGACAATGTTGATAACAGCTCAATAAGCGAGTTAAGTCAGACAGTAAGGAGGTAAAGAAGCTAACCTTGAACCTTTGGTAACCATGAATCTAAAGCCTGCAATGGCAATAAGTACATATCCTTCAATAATCACCCTAAATATAAATGGACTGAATGCACCAATCAAAACACACAGAGTAATAGAATGGATAAAAAAGCAAGACCCATCTATATGCTGCTTACAAGAGACTCACCTCAAACCCAAAGACAGACACAGATTAAAAGTCAAGGGATGGAGAAAGACATTTCATGCAAACAACAGGGAGAAAAAAGCAGGTGTTGCAATACTAGTATCAGACAAAATAGACTTCAAAATAAAGAAATTAATAAGAGATAAAGAAGGACATTACATAATGGTAAAGGGCTCAGTCCAACAAGAAGATATAACCATTATAAACATATATGCACCCAATACAGGAGCACCAATATAGGTGAAACAAATACTAACATAATTAAAGGAGGAAATAGACTGCAATGCATTCATTTTGGGAGAATTAACACACCACTCACTCCAAAGGACAGATCCACCAGACAAAAAATAAGTAAGGACAGAAAGGCACTGAACAACACACTAGAACAGATGGACCTAATAGACATGTATAGAACTCTACATCCAAAAGCAACAGGATACACTTCTCCTCAAGTGCACATGGAACATTCTCCAGAATAGAGCACATACCAGGCCACAAAAAGAGCCTCAGTAAATTCCAAAAGATTGAAATCCTACCAACCAACTTTTCAGACCACAATGGTATAAAACTAGAAATAAATTATACAAAGAAAGCAAAAAGTATCACAAACAAATGGAGGCTTAACAACATGCCCCTAAATAATCAATGGATCAACAACCAAATTAAAATGGAGATCCAGTAATATATGGAAACAAATGACAACAGCAACACAAAGCCCCAACTTCTGTGAGACACAGCAAAAGCAGTCTTAAGAGGAAAGTATATAGCAATCCAGGCATATTTAAAGAAGGAAGAACAATCCCAAATGAATAGTCTAATGTCACAATTATCAAAATTGGAAAAAGAAGAACAAATGAGGCCTAAGGTCAGCAGACAGAGGGACATAATAAAGATCAGAGAAGAAATAAATAAAATTGAGAAGAATAAAACAATAGAAAAAATCAATGAAACAAAGAGCTGGTTCTTCAAGAAAATAAACAAAATAGATAAGCCTCTAGCCAGACTTATTAAGAGAAAAAGAGAGTCAACACACATCAACAGAATCAGAAACGAGAAAGGAAAAATCACGACGGACCCCACAGAAATACAAAGAATTGTTAGAGAATACCGTGAAAACCTATATGCTAACAAGCTGGAAATCCTAGGAGAAATGGACAGCTTCCTAGAAAAATACAACCTTCCAAGACTGACCCAGAAAGAAACAGAAAATCTAAACAGACCAATTACCAGCAATGAAATTGAAGCGGTAATCAAAAAATCACCCAAGAACAAAACCCCTGGGCCAGATGGATTTACCTTGGAATTTTATCAGACATACAGAGAAGACATAATACCCATTCTCCTTAAAGTTTTCCAAAAAATAGAAGAGGAGGGAATACTCCCAAACTCATTCTATGAAGCCAATATCACCCTAATACCAAAACCAGGTAAAGATCCCACCAAAAAAGAAAACTACAGACCAACATTCCCAATGAACGTAGATGCAAAAATACTCAACAAAATATTAGCAAACTTAATTCAAAAATACATCAAAAGGATCATATACCATGACCAACTGGGATTCATCCCAGGGATGCAAGGATGGTACAACATTCAAAAACCCATCAACATCATCCACCACATCAACAAAAAGAAGGACAAAAACCACATGATCATCTCCATAGACGCTGGAAAAGCATTCAACAAAATTCAACATCCATTCATGATAAAAACTCTCAGCAAAATGGGCATAGAGGGCAAGTACCTCAATGTCCCGACCTGCAGGACTATCAACAGGGGTCAACGACCTGGAGGAGAGAATTGAAAAAAAAAAAAGAGGGGCAAGGGACACAAAGAACGACCAGCAAGACAGGATGTCTGATCAAGCTGGCACAGTTTATTGTTTGCAGGCTCAATTTATACAGGTTAGCAAGTAAGGGGTGGGTCAGGAGATAATTGGACTTTAGGTGGCGCCGGCGGGGAGGTGTAGAGGGGTGATTGGGTCTTGGTTGGCGCCAGCAGGAATGGAGGACCCGGAAGAGAAGCAGGGAGCTCGCCATTTTGGGGGTGGGGGCCCTTGGGAGGGAGGTTTTAAGGGAGGGGCTTTCCCCTGGGGCAGAGGGTGTTTCTTGATTAACAAAGGACAGAAAAAGCACATGCTGCAAGGTAGCCTAACCACTAGCTCTAACCTAGAAAAGCACATGTTGCTAGGTAACCTAACCACTAGCTCTAACCTAGGAGTTCACTAAATGCGTTTCTTGGTAATAGGGGAAAACTTGTTTCTAACGCGTGGATGGATTCATTGTTGCTGACTTTACAGGAAAGACTTTACTCAAACGTTGCTGTTATGTTAAGGCTTTTGTGACTGAATATGCCTAAAGGCCCACAGATTTGCTCCCAACATCTCCCCTATTTTTCTTATATTGGAACAGCCAGCCTAGCTCTGGTTGGGTCAAGGCCTGTGCCTGTCAGGTTGTATGGCTGAAGGAAATCCTTACCCGTCATGGGGATATAGTCTTCTAGCGACTATACCCTGTCTTATGTTGTTATTCCCTATACAACCATATCTTACCCGTCATTGGCTACCAGTCTTGACTTGATTTGTTGTAAGAATTTATATTTTTCAGTGAGAATTCTGTAAAGCTGAGCACTCCAAAAAAAGGGGGGGGTCAAAGGTCTGATCCTCAGTGGGTACCTGGCATATGGGTGCCTGGCACACGAGAACTCCTTTAGTCTTACAGACTGTGCTGAAGAGAAGGGAGTTGCTTAATTATGCATGAAATGTCCTTATTTTTTGAGGAGAGGAAGATGCTGGACACAAACCTCTATGCAATCAGACATGTCCCTCAAGGCAGGTTTTTTGCTGCCGTTACCCTGGGTACTCAGTCAGCTTACTCAATGACTCTTAGAAGAGTCATACTGATGTTCATATGTGCTGGGGGAGGGAGCTTCCTCATCATCGCTATCACGAGCAAGTCTGTGATAGTGGACTTGAATAGGCTTGCCAACAAGGGTGTCTATTTGCTTTTTTACAAGGCTCGTCAAATGTTTAAGAGCCCAAGGGCCGAAAGACAAGAGCAATATTAATCCTATGAGGGGGCCTAAGAGAGAGGGCAAAAGAGTAGTGAGCCATGGAGAGGTAGAGAACCAATTTTTATACCAACTTTCACTCTGCTCTCTTTCTATTCTTCTTTTCTCTAACCCTTCTCTGACCCTTCTCATACTATCTCTAACAACCGCTGTTTTGTCAGCATAGAAACAACACTCTTCTTTTAGGGCGGCGCAAAGCCCGCCCTGCTGCAGAAAGAGCAGATCTAGCCCCCTGCAGTTTTGGAGAACTACTTCAGCAAGGGATGAGATCGAATCTGTCAGGTCAGAGATTCCTTTTTGCAATTCTTGGATATCTTGGTCTATAGTGGCACTGAGTTCATGATAGCAAGAGTTAAAAAGAACTAGGGAAGAGATGCCTGTACCGGCACCTACAGCCCCTAGGCCAAGCAAAACAGCAATAGTAACAGCAGTAATGGGTTCTCAGCGGGAGCGTTTAGGGAGGGAAGGGTCTGAAGATTGTTCCCAGATATGGAAGGACTCATCAGACCGGTAGTAAATAAGCCTGGGTATAACTTTTACGAGAACACAAAATCCATGTTCTTGTAATATGGGGTTGTAGACACAGGGGGTGAGTCCATCTAAGCAGACCCACCAGGCGTCATTGGGGGGAACAATATATTGGGGTCTCTGTTCAATGGGGAAGATTTCTCGACAGAAGTGGGTGTACTCATGAGGGATCATTTGAGGAGTGTTAGTTATACAAGTCCTGTTACCGACTACTTGGGCTAAGGTTAGGCCTTCCCAACTAGCGCGTTCCCAACGACAGTCGTGAGTATCATTGGAGGTGGAGAAATTGCCAGGGATGGTAGCGCCTTCATAAAAGGGGGGAGGAGAGATAACATAACCAACATTCAGCGGTAAGCTCAGGGGTGGTGGAATTAATACTAAGAAAGGTTTGATTTATGAGGGTGAAGACAAGGTTTTTAGAACTCACTGGAGCAGGCACTGGCAGTGTAGGGGAGGGTTTAAGACTACTAGTTGTGAAGCTATGTTTAGGTGAGAGGGTGGAGAGCTTTGGTGAGGGAGGGTGCTTCTCACCTAGGACTGTATTTGGGCCTATGGCAACAGAAGGGGTGACAGGGAGCTCTTTAAGGAGTTTAATAGTAAAGGTGATGCCTTCATCATAATGGTCTTTATATAAACGAAGGCCCCAAGTGTATCCTTGTGCCCAGTTTGAGGCTTGCATCCCTTTTTCAGTGAGTGTGATAGAGAGAGGATTGCACCAATCTTTGACCCTATTTTCAGGTTTGCACTCAGGGATTATTTCAGGGTATTTATGCCCCTCAAAAGGGTTGTGGGAATAATTGGCTTTGACAGTGATAAAGTCCCAGGAAGAAGAGGGCTTCCAGTAAGTATCTCCTGTAGTCTCACACCCCCATGATGCACAATAATAATCTGTCTTGCCTCCGCATTTATGAAGGAGGTGACGGGGCCGGTGTTGCCCGGGGCAAACATAAAAGGGATATGACCTAAGAACTGACCGGCGCCCCGGGTCAGAGCACCCAGGGTAGGCGAGACCTGCACGAGGGATAAAAGGTGCTTCACTCTGCTCGAAGAGATGTTCTACTCCCCAAGGGGCTCCTGCACTGAGGGCCAGCTTACAGAGATCGGGCTGTAGAACGTTTGGCCACCAGACGTCTGGTGAGGTTTGAGAGCGGGACCAAACAACGTCTCCTCTTTCAGACAGCACTATCCAGGTGTAGTTCCAGGGGAAATGCTGGGACTTCGCGGGTGGTGGTGCTGGCTGATGACTCAGAACTGTAGTCGTGATCAGGAGAACGAGGATTGTTGGTGACTGCATCTGCAATGGAAGGAGAATTTGTCTCAGGCGGAGAGGGAAACTCCAGTCTGGACGGTGGTGAGTTAGCAGTTTTAACTAGTCTCTCAGGGAGCCATCGAGGCTCAGAGTTTTGCTGGTCATAAATGCAGACGGACCCTCTGCCCCAGATTATAACAGGGTCAGGACCTTTCCATGCGAAGGTCAGTGGATCTTTCCATTTTACTAACGCTTGAAGCTCATTGGTTTTTGGGTGCCATAACCGATCAGCAGCTGAGCGTCCATGGGAGTCGAGCGTCAAGAAATTAATGACAAACAAGGCATGGCTAAGTTGGTTATGGGGGCTGATAGTTGTATACACGAGGGGATTGTTCTTGAGGCGGGAGAGCGTGTTTTTAAGTGTTTGATGAGCTCGCTCTACAATTCCTTGTCCTTGGGGATTATATGGGATGCCTGTGATATGTTTTATCTGGAAGTCAGAACAGAAGCGCTGGAATTTAGCTCCTGTGTAACCTGGCCCATTGTTGGTTTTTATAATCTTTGGCTTGCCTAGCACTGTAAAACAGCGCAAGGTGTGGGTAATGACATCTTTAGAAGCCTCTCCAGTAAGGGGCGATGCAAAAATAAAACCACTAAAGATATCTATAGTAACATGAAGATATTTCATCTTTTTAAAGGGGTGAAATGAGTGACATCCATTTGCCAAATTTCATTCGGGATCAGTCCCCGAGGGTTCACTCCTAAATGAGGAACAGGAAGATGTGGAGCACAGTCATTACATCTTTTGACAATTTCTCGGGCTTGCTCTCTTTTAATTTTGAACATGAGCTGCAGAGTATTTGCTGAAAGGTGGTGGAGGGAGTGAGCATGCTGAGCTTGAGTTAGGGGTACACTGCTAAAGGTTGGTGCTATTAAGGGAAGAGTATGGGTGGCTTGGTCAGCAAGGGCATTGCCTGCTGAAAGAGGGCCGGGGAGTCCTGTGTGAGCTCGCAAATGGCCAATAAAAAAGGGTTTGGAGCATCGGACTATGAGATATTGAATTTGAACAGATCAGCGGCGTTAGATGAAGGTTTAATAAAGGGAGTGGTTTCTAGGAGAGGTACTGAGTGGGCTATATAAGAGCTGTCTGTATAAAGATTGAAAGGGGTATTAGGGAGTGATTGGAACACTTGGAGAACTGCATAAAGTTCAACAAGTTGGGCAGATGAAAAGGAAGTGGACAGGGAAACCGGGGTTTTACCTTGAATAACATATGCTGCTTGCCCTGTTGCTGAGCCATTTGTAAAGATGAGGAGGGCTTCTTGCAAAGGAGAGGGGGAGGTAACTTTGGGAAAAACTAGGGGATGCAGTCTGCTAAACTGAATCAAATGGTCAGTGGGATAATGATTATCTATGGTCCCAGCAAAGGAGGCACAGGCAATACCCCAGTCATCATTGGTTTGTAGCAACCAATCTATCTGCTCTGTAGTACATGGGACTACAATGATATCGGGATCTTTACCAAAATACTGTCTGCTTAATTTTCTCCCTTTTATGATAATAGAGGCAGTTAGGGAAAAATAAGGTGTTATGACTTTTACAGGTTTGTTGGAGAGGTAGACCCAAAGAAGAGGCTTGCCTCATTGTTCAGGGGTCTTGCCTGACTGCCAAAAAACTCCTACTGGAGCATGGGTGGTGGCACAAATGATAAGATATAAAGGAGAAGAGTAGTCAATGTGGAAAGAGGTTTGTAGAGAGATAGCTTGATTGATCTGTTCTATAGCAGCAACTGCTAAGGGCGTTAGGGTGCGGGGGGAGAGGGGATGTGAGTCGCCTGCTAGTAAATTGTTTAAGGGAGTTAAGCTTTCAGGGGGAAGTTTCAGGTATGGCCTTAAAAACTGTAGGTTGCCTAGCAATTTTTGAAAGTCGTGCAGCGTTTTGAGAGAGGAA